TCCGACTTTCCATCCATAGCTCGACTATGGATGAATACGTCATCGAAATAATTCGGCGCGAATTCTCGTACTGGCCTCAACAGATGTGATACACACCTGTTGAACGTGGCAGGGGCATTACTAAGCCCTTGTGGCATTACTAGCCATTCCCAGAGCATGCCGCTAGGCGTGCTCACTGCGGTATAGGGTATATCTCGTTCTCGCATAAGGATTTGATAGAAGCCATCCATCAAATCCATGGACGAAAAGATGGTACTCTTTGACATACCATCAATGATTACGTCCTTCGTCGGTATCGGCGTCTGAGCCGGTACCGTTGCAGCATTCAACTTGTTGAACGCGTGCACTATCCGCCACCCTCCTGTTGCTTTTCGCACACAGAAGGTCAAAGAGCTATGTGTGGAAGTTGATTCCCTCACATGGCCCGCTGCTAAACGATCAGCAAAGAACTTGTCGATCGCAAGTACTTGTTCACGAGGCAGTGGCCACTGCTTCATGACACAGTACTTCGAGCCTGGTTTAAGCTCGACCTCGTGTCGAATACCTTTATCCTTCGGTAATTCGCACGGAACAGTTTCAAGGGATACATCCTTGAATTCAACCAAATCTTCATAGAGAGGATTTGGTTTGAGCGATTCCCACGATTGGGAGTCATGTCGCTCAACTCGTGTCTTTTCATCTAGGACAATCTCGTCCATAGATGAACTACCGAGAACTCTCTCGTTCTCAGTGAGCACTGTTGCTGACCTTATGTCGGCTACACACTCGTCGTCAGCGACGAGTATGCAGATCTGCTTGACTTTGCCACTACGCAGATCACGCAAGAACCTTTTATGTTCGAGATTTGGCAACTGAGTGATCTCCGAAGTCAACTTCGGAGGCGCAATCAGATCAAGTGTATAAGCGCCTACACTTGATCCGTTATTGACTATGACATTCAATGTATCTGTCATTTCCTGGGGACTTATTCCCTCAGGCCTCGAAGGACTCATTCCTTCGGCTTCCCTGGGACTTATCCCCGCGGGTTTCGGGGAACTTATTTCCATCGTATTTGTAATATCGGGACTTATTCCCTTAACTTCCTCTAGCTGGGGTTGCGCAACCACAGCGAGATCCTCTACGAAAGACTCTCCAGTCGATCTAGGATTATCGTTTCGCTTAACCTGAGCGATCGATTGTTTCTCTTCTAGATGTTCCCCTCTAGGGATACATCTTTTTCCCGGTCCACTCGACTTATTCGAGTGGTGGACCTTCGGCGCAGCCTGTGTTTCCTCACAGCCGCCGGAACTTTGCTCCGAAGTGTAACCGTTTGGTACACTAAGGATTTGTGCAGTCGTACTAACGACCGTACCACAAGTGAGGCCATCGCACTCACTCGTAGTACATCCACACGCTTGTGGACGCTCCAAAACGTTCATCAGATGGCCATATGATGAACAAACGGCAGGCATCTTCACGGATCGATGTTGCCAGTTTACCCGTGGTTCGTACCTTCTGAGCCACGGTATTCCAAGGATGACATCAAATTTGTCATCCAAATCCAGTACGATAAAGTCATCGTCATATTGGGACTCTTCTAGCGTATAGTGGATCTTCACTATACGCTTCGTGACGGTTACGGATGCGCCTGTCGCAAGACGTACAGTCATCCTCGTAGGAGGTGTGTCACATTTACTGAACTTAAAGTGACCATCTTCTAGCAATTGGCGTCGCACAAAATTGTTGGACGCCCCACAACCGACTAGAGCTCGAAGGGACAACTTATTCGTCACTTCGAGTTTCAAGGTAATGAGTGAGATCTCATTACCTAGAGCAGCAACGCACAACGTTTGTGTGTTGGGAGCAACCTTCGTCAAGAGGCCTGCAAATTCTCTTGACGTTGCTGGACGAGTAGGGTGCTCCGCACCTACTGATCCTGTCCGTTTTTTGACGGTCCATCCCGTTGTTGTGTCTTTGCACCAACAGCGGACCCGCGTCCCTGCCCCTTTCTCATGGGTGGGCGGTCATTACGCCCAGTGTTGCGAGACACTGGACGAGGGGCACTACACTCGTAAGCGTAGTGTCCTGTCTTTTGACATCTATTGCATTTCTGCAACTTCTTGTAGTCTGTAGAGCGAGCCTTCTCGCTCTCTACATAACAGAGTTACATCGGCTCTGGACCTCCATTGTCATATCGTCTCGGTTGACGATACGATGTCGAGCTGGCGCGAGCCTGTCTCAGACTGAAGTCTTCCTGTTCCGCAACGGAAATGGCTTGTTCTAGTGAATCTAGTTCTATTCGGAACAGGTGAGTCTTCACGGGACCATCCGCAAGACCCTGCATGAACACCGAAACCAACGTGTGTTCATCCACCGGGTTGGAACTTATACAACTCGTAAGATGTCGCATATGTTGCGCGTAAGCGTGCACATCACGCTTACCTTGTTTGAGCTTCAAGAGTTCAGTTCGAGCTCTGAACTCAGCTCTAGGCGGTTCAAACGTTTGTCTGAGCCGCGACTTGAAGACTTCCAACGACCCAAACGCGTATGGGTCGTGCAACTTGAGCCCCAGTGCCCAAGTCTTGACACGTCCTGCCAGATTTGGCTGGGCAAATTCAACTTGCATATCCCCGTCGTCGATGCGACGCGCCCTTATGGCGTCATCCAATTCGACGAACCATCTCAAGAGGGAGTCCTCTTCGACTCTTCTATACTTAGAGATGTCAATCTTCAAAGGCTCGGGTCGACATGAATGCATCGACCCGCCACCAGCAGCCTGCTGCTGTCTCAACAGTTCAAACTGTTGAACACCCTGTTCTCTCAACAACACTGATTGTTGAGAACCTTGTTGGTGAAGCAAGGCTACTTTCTCGCGTTCGGCGTCAAGTTCATTTTGAATGAACTTGGCGATAGTAGCATGTTGGGCATCTCGATTGAGAGCCTCTAGCATGACGCTAACAGCATGGATGCCCATGGTTGAACCCATCTGTTCAACCGCATCCCATTCGACATCGCTCAAATGGGAGTAGCCGTCACGCGTAGCGTGAAAGCTTTGGTCATCTTCATCATCCAACATATTCATGTTAGATGTAAACGTGGTCCTTGGACGGACTACGAAGTGCTACCAGGTGTAACGGGGCACCCTGAAGCTTGTACTGGTGACAGTACAAGCTACTTATTTCGATGACAGTAAGGCGGTGCCTCGGAACTTCACGTACACTCGTACGTGCAGAGGAAGACGGTAAGAAGAAGCGAGTACTTGGTTACAGTAAAAAGTAGAACTGTATTTAGCATAGTTAATGTCTGTTAATAAATCACTATTTATCCTCATCTAACTATGTCTGAATACAAATGTGCATATCAGCTATCTGCTCACCACTCATTGCGTGCGTCTGTGGTGGCGCGTCGTCGTTGGTTGATATTATGGCCTGTATCAACCAATTAGGAACTACTAGTAAGTGCTGCAGAATGTTGTTCTTATGACAATGTTCTGAGAATCTAACTCTTATAGTTATATTCTATTAACAATTTTTTTTAAATTGTTATGTAACGATTCACCCCGTTACATAATCGCTAGTTTGAGTTAAGGATAAAACGAGAACTGTATGTACTATAGTTTTTGAGCTATCAATATGACTTCAGTCTTTATCTGTCTATATAAATCTAAATTGTTGTATGACGACAATCTGCTCACCAGCCATTGCGCGCGTCTAGCAGCGATTGGTGTTAATCTTGGTTGATATGTCTTTTATCAACCAATCTTTGAGCAGCATGTGAAGACTTTTTTAGGGGATAATATATCTTCCATATTGTCTTTCTCGGGTAATATTGGCAGGAGTTTGTTACGCTAGACAATCTCCCTATTGACACCGTTCGGTGTCGATGTCATGTGACGGGCTACCCCGTTTCAGATGCAACCTGAAGCTCAACTTGCAGTCAGGTACGTCCTTATAAATAGACATGGGCACGTGTACACGTACACGCCAAACGCTTCGTACATTATTAGGGCAGAGGTGAATAGGTCGTCCGGATTGCACTCAGCGGCAGGTAATCCAAACGTAATTTTTACACACCTGTAATTGGTAACAACGTAAAGATTAATCTGCATCCAACTACGAGCGTATGTATAGACGTGGGCACGTGTGCACATACAAATAGATTGATGGACCATCATGTTTAGCTCTTCCAGCTTTCGCATGTTGTAGTACATCATTACTTTGGCACTACTTACAATGAAGTGAAGCAGATCATTACGTGGATGTCTGCTTTCGAGCACGCACAAATGGATTTGTCGTGCGAGGCACCTAGGTCAAATCGGGTACAATCGAGTTTTCCTGAATCAATTATATTTTTGGCTCCCTGTCCACTTCTAATAATTAGCACAAATTGCACAATTACACGATTTCGTACTAGCTTCACCCCAGTCGGAGCGCGCTGGAGGTCGGAGATATCATGGTATGGACGCAGTTATCCTATCAGGGAGAACCGTCAAATTGACTTTGTCATAACAAGGAGCTATGCAGTGATTACTGGATGCGAAATCTCGACCAAGATGAGTTGATGCGAGCATGAATTGTCAAGGTGACTACGTGAATAACGATGCAGCCAACAAGTGAGATGACGAGTAATATGCTAGAGTGTGACAGATAAAGTGGGGCAAAATGCAAAATCGTCTAGCTACGAGATGAAACAAAAGTAGTGGCACGTTCACAGAATCAGAAGCGGACATCGTATCGCGTGGAAGGGTGGGTCGAAACATGGCTGGCTGGCTGGATTGGACTGGACGACTCGTTGTCAGTGTGATTTCAGCATGGCGATACGAAATGGTTGATTATGCATAATGCAAACATTGTTTCGACTTTTTAGGACCATACTTGTTTTTCGACACGAAAAAACGTGGCAACACCTATTTTGGCTCGTGTGAATTGCAATGATTAGACGGAATGCAACCCCTGACACGTAAAGATCGTGAGTAATCGTTGTAGACCTTTATGTTTCGGCTGCTGGGCTGACAACTGAACCTAAAATAACACAATCTTCATGCTGCCGTCTTCCTTCTGAAGCTGCGGAATGAAGTGAAACTGAATAAGGTCCACCATCTCAGAGGCTGTATCTTTCAGCTCTAGAACTGTATGTTGCTTCTTGTCCTTCTCCATGTCGAAAATCACGTGCTTTGTGTGCACCAACGACAATGCCCCCATTTCCAACAGCGTCTTCACACGTGCTGGGGTGCCCACAGCAATTGGCAAATAGTTGCTAGCAAGCTGTTTGGCTTGTTCACTTGCCTTCAGATGTTTGCCAAAGAGCTTTGCGACACGGCACTTGAAGGGCGTTAAATACCTGGATGATCGTCGGAGCAAGAAACACAACAATAAGTATCAAGTGCACTTCGCTGTCCCGTCGCCGCTTCAGAACTTACTTGATCACCTCGACACAGCGCAGCGCAGACGAACAAAGAATGAGAAAGTAGGGACTTTTGTCACGACGCTTGCCCTTGCCAAGGAAGTCCTTCTTGTACGTTGGCATCAAGTGATGAATATACGACGGCAGCAACTCGAGCTTGTGCTTGCCCAGACCCGTTGGTGCGACAAAATGCGACTCTACACACCACAAAGCTTTCCGTCAGCGGCGGCAACCTCGTACCACTCAGCTCTAGTTTTATCTCAACTCAACCATTCAGTCCGTCCGCCAACTCCAGGGTCGTCATTTGTTCGCCACGGTGTTTCACGTAGACGTCGTTCACGATCTTGAAGTGTTCAGTCTGCGTCATCTTGTGCAGTCCCTTGCCGTTGTACAGTGGACCCTTGGCCTAAGAAGCATTTATTTTCACATATTTGACGCTTGTTTCGTCAAACGTATCGTGTATTTCGATACCAATATATTGCAATATCGCAACGAACCGTCGAGTCCGTCTTTCGTTTCTTCACAGCGTCTTCGTCCGTCTCGACGTCGGCCGTCTCTGCATCGCGACTGCGCTTCACGCCCGACGCCAACTCAAGCTCCGCTTCTTCCTCAAACTCGTCCTCACTACCGGCGGAGATGACGTCCTCATCGTTTGAGCCGTCAATGACCTCCGCCGTCCAGTTCATCTCGAGCTCATCGTCATTGCGGATGGTCATGTTGGCGACCAATCGCCTGAGCGGTGAAAATTACGATTTGAAAGACTGATATTGGCACATTTGGGAGATGAAAAGTAGTTTTCGTACTGAGTGTGACAATGGTGAAACGATTAAAAACAAGCGCTCGAACAAGGGTCAGCAGTTACGATTGCGGTCGGTAGCAGTAGCAGAAAATAAGCTCAACTGGCTCAAGCCTATCGAGTTGTGTTACACAATACATGAGGTAAAGCGCATTTATCTGTAGAAAAAGCGGACCGCAGCGAATCAAAGGAACATCGTCATCGAGGGAAAAATGCCCAGAAAAGGCAGGAACCACTCCCCTTCGTTACTGATCGCTAAATTGCTGTCAAGATGTTTTGTACCGCAGAATCCTCGATAGATTGGCATGTGCCTGAAGGGATGAGATTCGTCCTCCATTACGTGTTGCTTGATTTAGATATGTGATAGAACCTGATCATCGCAGTAGATTGACAATGTGCCCGGTGTATGAAATGAGATATCAAGCGTCAAGGATTAATACGAAGCTTTCAAATGCCAAGACTCAGCCTATTGTACAAAAACCTACGCCAAGATCTAGTCAACCAAGCTCATTCTCCACTAAATTTGCTGATTGAGCGTGGTTGAGTTGAGCGTGGGTAGGTTGGCACATCTACAAAGCCGGCAACTTACCGACATGCACTGGAAGGTAGCTGCTTGGACCTGGTCCCTGCCATCGCTGTTGTCAATGTATTATCTTCAGATAAATTGTGTTACTACATACTCGAGTCGCTCCCCCTCACGCAGACTAACAAATTATGTTCCTGAGAACTCGAGCCTGTCTAGCTCACGCAAATTAACGAATGGTATAGTAAGTATTCTGCTGCTTCAACGCTGATGAGATGAGATGAACAAAGAAGGCTTGGAAGAAGTGGATGAGCGCAGAAGGAGTCGAAGCAAGAATTAATAGCGAAGATCAAATACCTTCCATGTAGATCTCAGATCAATTACAAAGCATCTTGATCGCTCAGGGAAGGTGTAAGTGCTCGACCGGAGCTGACCAAAGACGAGATAGCAGATGCAGAGGAGGACAAGGAAGGTAGCGAACTCATACAAACTTTCCGCACACGTCGCAGGAAGGTTCACATGGACCGAAAAGGTTAACGTCGTCCTACGAGATGTCTGCTCTCTACTTTATTTATGCCAAAATTCACCGTTCTGAGTTATAGCTAGAATGAGCAATGCAATTCTACAGAAGGTGTCTCCGTGGTTAACGTTGGCTCGACGCAGCTTGCAGGATATGTATGAACACTATCATCATTGATTACGGTTTCACGAAAAACTAATTACTGCACAGAACAGTGTTGATTGGGCGCTGTGTGCGTTACAATCAAGTCGCGTGATTTTTTTGGAATCGCAGTCCCTGGAGTCCAGTTAGCAAGCCCAGCAATGATTTGCTATCATTTGAGATGCAGTGATCGTTCGAGATACTCAAAGCTACGCACATTCAGTCACTCGCGCTGAAGAAAATTATAGTCTGGAGCAAAACGTATTGCGATAGCACACTGATGTACCAACAAAACCGATCGCCGTGCATACCCGTGAATAGAATAAAGAAAAGGTGCTGTCCTTCAACGCAAGCATGCCCTTCAATAGCATACTTCTTGGCACGCACAGTGACATCTCGCGGTGTCGTATAGACGAGAGAGCTACAGTGTTATCATTATACGTGGAGTCGTCTCCAGTCGTCGCATTACAAAGACAGCAGCTGCCAGCATCAAACACCAATTCAGGTGGCACTGAAATACAGATTCCTAGTGCGGCCGTCACACACCTGTAATAAAGTTGCTGCATGTTACGTCAACAGACCTCGTATAATGAGCACTGGACTTGAAAATGTAAAGCTGGTCGATCTTTTCCATTGTGTCTCCGCGTCGTCGCTCGGCTCCTTAAGACTCATCGCTCTTTTCCTTCTGCCAAGATTACACATTTTATCAGTCGTCAACTTACAGTGCAGACGTGCAATGTCAGTAGAATACTACCTTTTTGTCGCTCATCGCTCGAGTTGATCTAGCCTTCTCTGGTCGACTCAGTAGGTTGTTGAAGAAGTTCTGAAGATGCATGGAGCTCACATCCTTCTCTTCACGCTTTTGGCGATCTGCTGTCGCACGGCGAGCGGTAGCTGCCTGTTCTGACTTCTTGCTTGCTTCAATGCTTTGCTTTTGTAGCTCCTCCAGACCTGCACCTGCAGCCTTTTCCAGTTTCTCCAGCCACTGCTCGTGGCTATCGATATGGATATCGGCAGCGAGCAGTGTCGTAACATCATCTGAGTCTTCCGTCGGAGCAGGGACAATTTTTTCAAAGGGTTTGTCGGTAGGCCAGCGAGCTTGTGAGCCCGCAAGACTTTTTTCGACCAGTTTGAACGAGTCATAGCCAGACGGAATGAAGATGGTGTTGTGGTCCACCAATTGTGGCGGCTCCGTGAATTTGAATTGAGACGGATGCGCGCGATGCAGAATGTACTTTCGAAGAGTATCCACATTCGAGCCGGTCTTCGCTGATGTAAACACCACCGATGCTCCGTCTAGTAGTAAATCACGATACAACAAGTAAAAAGCGATTAGCACAATCACGAAAACTACAGCATCGAGAGGTCTCACATCGAACTGCAACACGACGAAGCGTGTACTCGATGTAATCCATTTGGACCGAGTTTTCCGGACGCAGCTTTACCCACAAGACAAATTATAAGATTAACCTTTATCACTAGTGCAATGTATCGGCAGTTTACACGTACGTCCGCCTTGGCCACAACAAATATAAGAGGCACGCCAAGGTTCTTCGACAAGACACCTTCTTCTATCTGTTACGAAAGCGATATCAGCAACACTGCGCCATTGATCCACCACTATCTCGAGAAACGCGTACAAACTCGCTCGCAGACGTATCCATTGGCGTCGGTGCAGAATGGTCTATACTCTGATTGTACAAGCACGGGTTGCATTAAAACACTCTGCATTTATCTTCATGTGTTTGGCTCTAACTCTGAGAGTTTCGTACCGGATCTTCGTAGGCCAGAATATGCTGCTTAATCGCCGCATACAGCTCGTTTCTAGCTTCTGATGTCAACTGATTAATCTGATCTAGCAATTGACCTTCCAAAGCTGAAAGCCACTGCTCCAATGAGCTCTTGATCGTCCACGGCCGCGATAGATCCAGCACAACAGCCACCACCGTCTACCAACGAAACAAAACAGACATTACAGTTGCGCACATGTCCATCGTAAGCTCCTCCATCTTTCTCCTTTTCCTGTCGTTCTGTCCGTCTCCTATCCACAAACTCAACAATCTCCACCTTATCAAGCATCTGAGGTTTCACCACCATCTTAATCAGGTCCTTGAGGTTCAAATCGTTCAAGCTCCACGTCTCCACGTGTGCGATCACGTCATCTACCACCAAAAAAACCACCGTCAACATGCGGTTTTTATTTAATAGCGTTAACAAAACCATCGTAAAAGCGCTTTTAGTCCAATTTGACACCCCTACAAACACACAAAGCGCTTCTGTCATATTCACACGATCACGCACCTGATTCTTGACTCTCTCCGCTCTCTAATGCACGCGGATCCAGCACGTCGAGCGTTTGAAAGGCCAGCAGCGAATCGACAGCGGGGTCACTACCTGCAGCCTCAGAGTGACCCCCTTTGGCTTCGTCCAGACGCGATACGAGTGCGGACTTTCCGCTCTCTGTGTCGCCTACGAGCAGGAGACTCACGGTCGGCAGTTTGGAGCGCACGGAGCAGTCCCGCAGCATCTGCTGCCATCGATCTGCCACCTCAGCGATCATCTTGTAAAATGAAGAGAAGAGAGGGGCGCTGATTGGCTAGAAATTGGCAACTATCTATTTTGCAAAAGCAGGTGTAAAAATTGCTAAAAGCAGCTCGGAGTTTTGGCATTTGAGGGTTTCGGATGCATATCGGCGCGTAGTATCAGGATGCTCGCTCAAGCACCGATAGCAACTACTGCTATACCAAAACCAAGCCATTCGGGCTCCAGTCCGCTTGCATCACTACGTGATGTCGGCAGACATTCAGTTCAACGTCTTCTCGGGATAGAAGCCATCGATAGGAATCACTTGATCCACAGCTTCTCCAAGATCAGCACATCGATGCTCCAGCTTGTAGTAAGATTATGCCGCCTAAAGCATTGCTAGGCGCTGATGACGTCAAGCTGTGGTCGCCACTCGGACAAGAGCGATTCTGCATTGGAGCCGCTCTCGTGGCCTCGTGCTCGGGTTGTATTCAGGCTAACCGATGGTCAAATATTTTACAACGAGGTATCGAGCCAGGTCGTTGGCTCCGCTATTTTCGTGCATACAAAGCGATTACAAGCAAAAGCTGGCTCAGTATTTCACCAAGACCAAAAGTTGACCGAGATCAAGAGAAAACAACGAACCTCTGCTTGTAGATGAGAGACAGATTGTAAGCTGTTTCCTTGCAGATCATGTATTCTGGAGGCACCTCACGATTTTGCTCCTTGCTTGTGGCGAAAAATCGCAGCACCCGCTCGTACATTGGTATTGCAAGGTGATACAAACCCTAGCACGACATGACAATCACATATAAACACTTAGTCGGAGAGATACAACATTGGTGTGATGAAGGGTCAGACATCGCAAACGCACCAATTGCTGGTGAGCGCGACCAATGTTGTACCAGGCCTCCACCTGACGAATTTCCGATACGATATCACTTGGAGCAGCGATGCGAACACGCTCATACTGCTGCAAAAATGCAAACGCCTTTACCACAGTGTGCTGCCGATCGTTGATGGTTCGTTGCATCGACGCAGATAGGAAGGCCAAGCCGATGCAGAAAAGAGTGAGCGAGTCGTTCGGGTGCTTTTGGTGAGCAAGGGTTAGTTCACCAACCGTCAGCGATGCAATGTCCCACGCTGACGACTGGTGGCCAGCAAGCAAAGTGGCCGGGTAGCTTTCAGGATTGTCACGCAACAACTTTGCTAGGAACTTCTGATGCCACGAAAACACACCGGTGATAGCAATGACGCGCGAGAACAAATTCCAGTAGCCCAAATTTTGTGGATCCTCCAAGATATTCAACCGTGCGCATTCGTACGCCATCCGATATTCCTTGAATTCCAAAGCGATCACGAGCGCTAAGAAGCGCAGCTCAAAGCGCAGAATAGGCTTGGAAATCTTGTCCGACGTATTCACGTCCGTCAAAAGCTCGATTGCTGCCACATATTTGCCAAGCTCAGTGAGCGTTTGTGCAACGTCAATCACCAGGTTGTAATACTGCTGCTCGCCAAGAGCACGAGAAATTACAATTTGCTGAGCCACACGCATGACAATCCCCATGAACGATTCGCGCTGCCGCGAGTCTGTAATGTCCACCAGATACTCAGATTTTAACACCTGGAAGCCCACGGACTGTGCGTCGCTCTCTGGAATGACATCGCGCGCTTCCACGAGTGGATTTCTTACGCGACCAGATAAGCGGAATGATGTCTGGCTAAGAGATGTGAGTATGATGGGGATGCCGACTTGACAAAGTACTTCAGCTTCGCCCGATAGTTTCTTTAGGTGACCCAACTCAATCAGGAGTTTCAGGCGTATGCCGTTCTCCATAGCATCTACAGACAACGACGGATCAGGAGTCATTTCCATTCTGGTTTGGTCATCAGCTTCGTCGTCGTCGTCTTCTGCTTCCTCTTCAAGTTCATCGGCATCAAGGTCTTCGTCGCCCTTTGCAAATTTTTCAGTTTCGCCATGAGCTGACGCTGTGCCTTGGCTTTTCTCTTTTCGTGAAGTAATCCAATAAGGCCGGATCGGCGGGCGCATTGTCTGTGGCAAATATTGCTCGAGTAAATCAATACCCTTTAGCGGGCTATTTTTCTTCCGCGTAACTTGCATTGCCTGCAACATTAATTCCGGACTTACTGTCAAGTCTGCTGATTTGCGTTGGTAGGCCAACGCTTTCTCGTAATACTCCACGGCAACGTCGTATATACCCAAACGATCATGGCATGCAGCAAATTTTACCCAGATCTGCTCGATCAAAAACTCTTCTCGGCCTAGAAGCTGCTGAAGGATGGCTGCAGCCTCACGGTCCTGATCGCCAAGCGCAATATATGCATCTGCCACATCGAGATACAGATCGCCAAAAACTACGACATCTTGGGCAAACAGATGTGTGAACATGAACTCAGCCGTGACGAAATCTCTCTCAAAAAGGTGACAGATACCATACTTCACGGCGATATCGAGTGGCAAGCCACCTGGATCACCTTCGACCTGGTCAGGGTCCTGACCCGATGCATACCGTGCGTGGAGGTGGTGAATCACGTTAATAGCTTCGCGATATTTCTTTAGCGTGATGTACAAGTCTGCAAGCATGTTCACAGCATTTAGCTCGTACTTTGAAGAGTGCAAACTCATCGTCTGGTCCAGCGTCGCAGCCTTTTCGATGCACATTTTCAGCGCATCAACAGCCTCGTCTTCTTGTCCATTGCAATGATACGCCTCTGCAATTTGAATCCACAGCGACAGATCGCCCGGGATCAGCACAGTCAGTTTCTTGAAAACTTCAGCTGCTCGTCGATTATCGCCTTGTTCACGACACAATTCCGCATAGCTAAAAAGCGCTTCTTTATCTTTCGGGTCCGCACTACTTGCTTTTTTAAAGCAAAACAGCGCCTGATCAAAGTTCTTCTCGTCTTTTGCAATGCGACCCACACGTTTCCAAAGCTCAGCATCTTGCGGTGTCAGCGTGCACGCAATCAAAAAGAACTGGAGCGCTTTGATACGGTCCTGGCGGTCTTCATATATCATCCCTAACGTATGGTACGGGTCGGGGATAGTTGGCGCTTTCTTAATAAAGTCCTTGAGCAGCGCAATAGCCTCGTCATACTGATGCGAGGCATAGAGCATGTTGGCTTCACCCAGTACATTGGCCAGTTCAGGAGGCACTTTAGTGGCTGTCACGCTGCGCTTGCCCGGTAGACCACCTTTTCGACGTCTTCTGCCTGGGCCACTGCCTCCTCGTCTCCTGCGCTTGCGGGATTTCCCCCACAGCTGCCGTTCAATATCCGAGTCCTCCTCTTCTTCCTCGTTGTCTTCTTCAGCATCTTCACCGTTATCTTCTTCTTCTTCTTCACTGGACTGTGGAACGTAAATGTCGTCGTTGTCGTCGTCTGCGAGAGCTCCTGACCAATCGATTGGTTGTTAGGGACTCCACAATGTGTTTTTACCACGACCCTCAAAAATGTTTTTATTCTACCATTTAAGTGCGACGTGTCGTCATCGAGAAGATCCACCTGCGCATCAATCCTTCCGACTTCGTCCTGCGAGAGCTCCTGCGCGTCGCCCATCGCTGCCTCGAGCAGTGACCGAAACGACATGGTTGCTACCGGGGTGAAGAGGAGTATACAAAATGTGGTGTATACTTGCTTCTGTTTTTGTACAATTATCAGAAAATGTTTTTAGCAATTTTGTCAGTGGATCAGAAATTGCTCAACGTCGATTTTTGAATGATCTATTTCAGACGCGAGGCTGAATCTAGCGATTCAGATTGCAATCGAAAGTCAATATGAGCGAGAGCAGTGGCAAGAGTCTGTCGTGGCCGGAGGTGCAGGAGATCTGCGGCCAGTTGGAAGGCATGTTCCACGACGACGCACTTAAAGACGCACAGCGTCTACGTGTGCTCATCCAGAACCGCAAGGACATTGCCAGCGCGTTTCACACCCGCCAGCGCTCAGCGCAAAAGCTGCTCGCTCGTAAGTAACTACCTAAATTTGAATCCGCAGCGGTAGATTTATGAATCAAGGAATTTCAGATTCTAATTTGAATATATCAGATCTTCACGCGAATTTAAGGGAGTGGGAGGAAAAAGAGCAAATGGCCAAGAAGCGCAATGAGCAGCTGCACGAGCGTCTGCAGCAGCTGGACACGATCAAGAGAGATGTGGCGGTGCAACTGGACCGCTTCCGACTGAACGAACAATATCCTTTTCATCGTAGTGAACTCATGGTGTCTTATAGTTGCATACTACATAGATTTTGTAGTGGCCTGGTACCTTAGTGCAGCAGTTGTCCTTAACCTGCTTTGTGATTATTTCGATCTGTTCACCATTTCACGACGTCGAAGGAGTCGTTGGACATGCTGATGAGTAGATATGATGAGACGAAACAAGAGCTGCTGCAGTACCATGCTGATCATCAGAACGACATTCCAGTGGCAAAGTACGTGGCGTCAAAACAAGAGGCTGATGGTGGACAAATGAGTTGTGGCTTACACATGGTTGTTGTGCTGTCCAGAAACCAAATGAGTCTTTATGCCTCGGTTACGGGAATCCGGTGGGACTTTAGCGACATGCAGATGGCAGGAGGTGAGCAAGCACAATGGCTTTGCGTGTTGAATGCATTGACAAATTTTCTCGATGTTGTGGTGCAACAGATATTCATGTACCTGCGAAAAAGCAAATTGTCCGATTTCACATCGACCCTGCAATGGACCATTTCACGGCTGCAAACACGCTATGGGACAAGATTGATGAGGCTTTTGATGACATCAACAGTGACATGTAGAGAGGTCAATCCCCGCCAAAATGTGTCCAGTATTTCGAAAGATTGGTCAATGCTGCTAACATCATTCGTTGCTGCCACTAATGCTTACCCTCCATTCGACGTGGCTACAGAACACGAAAAGGTTGGCGCCATTTTGAATATCAGCATATGAATACGGTAAACAACGACCTTAGGACACTTGCAAGCCATTTGGAGTTACTGTTGCAAGAGATCGGGGCAATTTGTAGTTTCTCAGCTGCAAATCCATTTAGCTGGTGGCAAGTCACGGTGGTTTGAGAAGAACTTGATCTTTGGGGCTGAGCCAATGAAGCAATCCATCAGGTGTTCAAAGATGAGTTTTTTTGCATAAAGTGATTCAAAATTTGTGCAAGGTTGAATATCAGTGTGTTTAAAATACCATGCGCTGTATAGTTATTGGGGAGATCCTAAAAACCAAGCAACTGGCCTGAAACTCAACTGGATAGCCACAAATCAGAGTGAATAGCTGCAAAACCAGTAAATCCAGGTCTTCCTCTCTTAACTTTTAGTCTTAGTGACAACATTTTCTAAAAGCTAACAGAGATTATGTATCATAGGATGATGGTGGCGTGAAAAATGGGCAATTAACCCAATTAATTTTCATAAAAAACAAATGGAATTGCTAAATTCACACCCCTTTTCCTTAGATTCACACCCTTCCTTCAAAATCTTATATGTACAAGGTACGCAATCGCCGTTGGACAAAGACGAGTACTTTCTCTGCCACTTGGCTACGGGCGACATCTTGCGCGCTGCTGTAGCTGCTGGCACCGACATAGGCAAAAAGGTCAAATCTGCGATGGAGTCGGGCGCACTTGTGACCGAAGAGATTGTCGTCGGTATTATTAAGAACGCCATCAAGAGTTCGGAATGCCGTCGTGGCTTTATTCTTGACGACTTCCCACGAACGGTCGTGCAGGCCAAAAGGTGTAAACAAGAGGAGATACAGACAAGTGTCCAGGTTGCAACGCAGCGGCTGACCATAGTTCCCAATTTTTGTATGTGGTGCTATGTAGCTCGACGAAAAGTTGACGAAGGAAACCACCTCGGTGGATGCTGTGGTGATTATTAACGTGCCGGACAAAGTGCTGTTTGAACGCATTGCAGGTCAACGCGCGCACTTGGGGTGGCCGCAGTAACCATGTCAAGTTTGCTCCGCCGAATGTGGACGATAAGGACGACATTACGGGCGAGCCGTTGATTCAGCGCAAGGACGACAGTGAAGCCACTCATTATTTACTGTAGAGAGGTTTGCTAGGGCACCGTCATTTTTCATAAGAATATTTGAAAGAATCCCTAACGGTTTAACACCAGCCAATGTCATATTTCTGACAGTATCGGCCTGCTCGCTATTTAGCTTTCTATGAGTCGAATGAACAGACGGATGAAGCGACGGCTCGTGATTGTGGCATCCATTCATCACGTTTAACTTCCAATTACCCCTTTTTGGAGAGATTTTCACCTATAAGGAACGGGCAATCAATTTGGCGTGAGCTGGTCTGGCGTTGGCGCTCTTTTCCAACCTTTGATACGTTTACGGCAACTCGATTACATTTAAGGTAGACACGCTTTCATGCAATCGAACTTTTAATCGTAACAGCATAGCCTTGGCCACGTGCTAACGTCTGCACAGTAACCTTAAGTTGCTCCCGACTGGCATACTCAACCTTGGGAGATGGAAGCATGTTATTGCGTGGTGACCTATCAGTAATTGCTGGAGAAGCTAGACCACAGGCTTGAGTAGTATCTTAGGTATTTCTTACGTATAACTTGCTAATCAATGGCCTAGATTATCGAGTAATACCTGTGTCAGAAAATAAATCTTAAAATGAAAAGGGATTTTATATATAAGATTTTGAAGGAAGGGTGTCAATCTAAGGTAAAGTGGTGTGAATTTAGCACTTTCCATAACGTAATATCACATGACAAAAGTGTAAAGAAATGCTGATTAATTTGCCAGATGCACTAAAGCAAAGTCAATAATTTAATGATAAAAAGCTCATTCAGAAGGCTCATTCAGAACACTCACTACTCTCTCTCCCAATAAGATTATAATTTACTTAGAATCAGTAAAAACAATTCCCCAGAGACCGCTAACGCAGGTCCTCACATATTGTTTGTAAGGTTGGTTCAGGTTGTGCCTCAAGCTCAGAGACACTTAGCCATCCTGGTCGTTATCTGGGGTTGTTGTTCTTCGTTTAAAAAACGGTGTATTTTTTGGCTGCCTTTCCATTAATGAGCAATTTAATTGTACTGAAGGAGACGAGATTGCTCAGCCGGAGAGCAACGACCGAGAGATTCTGAACGCAGTATAGGAGAAGAAGAAATGAATAGAAGGATCTGCAGCAGAGGAGGAGGAAATTACCGATAGATTGTACAAGTGCGAGCAGATCGTAATCTAAGGTAGTGCCTGCACCTTGCATTTTCTGTCTCAGAAAACTAACCATTATACGTCCAAGCTACTCCGCAGACAACAGGATAACATTCGCAATGCCACACAAACCACCCTCGATATTTGGCTTGAATTAGTTTATACCCCATGCGTGATACAACTTCTTTGTCTTTAAACTGGTATCCCTCTTCATGGATATTAGTTATAAGTTATCAGTCAGTGACCATGAAACGACCCCGCTGGACGTCCAATCCTACAAAATAGCGGAGGTCATTAGTTATCGGGAGAACGAAAATCAGAAGGAGCGCTGCAGACGCAAATAAGTGGGTAACCTACAAGCATGTGAACGGCCTCCCAAAACATGTTGCCTTCCCACACAGCTCTTCTGATAATCATAGCCGTACCGCAGTCGATTCGTAAATTTTGTACAAACTTGCCCTCACACACCTGGTTTAGAAATGCATCCTCTACAAACCACAATACGTGAATAAAGTTGGTCTTCCTCCAACCCCCTTTCAGTAGAAACCAATCACAGTCAAGATCTCGCAAAAGAAACAGCTCACGCCTATGCATCGAAGAGTGGCTTTGCGAGTGCTGTGCAAACGTCGGGTTAATGGGGCTATCCCTATGTATTAAGAAGGTGATGATGTCATGTACACAGGGAGAACACAATCGCATCTGGTCATCGTAAGACCAGATCTCGAACAAATGTAAACAAAACGAGTGGGCTGTTCTCACGTGTATGTTCTTCTTTCAAAAAACGAATAGTGGGCCATGACGCATAAAATCAGTTGCTTTACCGTTCCATAATCTCACCAGCTTGCACAGTTCCACTAAACAGATGCGGGTGGAATCTCAATCAGCAGCGACCACTCCTTAGGCAACCATGTCTTCATATCTCGATGGGTCTCCCAGGCTGCCCCTTTATTATTTACTGTTGTATCATTGTTCATATTACGGTGCTGTGCAAAAGCTTATTTTGGCGTAGTTGCTTCTGTTTTTGTCAAGATGCGACCCTTCACGCTCGTACTAGGTTAATTCGCCGGCTACTAGTCCAAATCTCTATATCAAACTAGTTTCCATAACTTTTCTAATCATCTAGTAATTTACACCAAAGCATACAACTACAAATTCGGTGTTTTATTTGGCTGTCCTAGCACTTGTAGGCTATCCACTGTGTCTGAGGTTAGCTGCTTGTTTTTTAGAACCCCCAAGTTATTGCGAGCCCGTAGGGTGAAGCTACTAGTGACTGAGCACAAGGTGAATGCCAATCTTTTTAATCATACTTATCAGTCTTTATGTCTGTAAATAGCACGGCTAGATGTACCTTACACGCACAGAGTGCGATCCAGCATCCCTCATAGGTATAAAGGGCAGGCCTCTTTAGATTGGGCAGCTGCCTTATTTGACTCATACAAACGATTTATGCGCCATTCAGAAATCATAATTAGGCAGATTATGAAGTTTCCTAAATTTAGGTATGAGTACGCTTTTCACTGTTTTAAACGCATTAGCATGTCATACTGTTTGTACTGCAAGGGCCGTTAAATAGCAGCTTGTTCAGTCGCTTGCCTTACGCATCTTTAAGGGATTGAGGATGAAGAAGTTACACTCAACGGCTTTGTGCTAGGGAAAAGCAAGGTTGAGCGGCCTACAAAGCTGATAGCTAGTCGAAGCGGCCGCTGGACCCTGTTCAGCCCATGCGCTGACGTATTGATAGATGTGAGTTCTGGCATCAATGACCAGCTGTAGTGACTTATCGGTTCCAAATGCATCGCAGAGCGCTCTGACTTGGGCACCGATTCTATCGGCGTAGGCTGGCGTCCACGAAGTGTCTGGTATCTCCTTCTGCTGCTTGACGAGCCACACGATGTTTCTTCCCTTAAGCTTGACCAGCTCATACGGATGCGTCGGTGGTGTGGTATTTACGCTGCCATCGTTGTGTTGATCCCGTACCGCTGCTCGTCCGGAGAATTCTTTAATGACGCCAAAGATAAGCGAAGTGATAATGTGGTGGAGTGGGGTTCGCTCATTTTATGAGGTGATCCCGACTCTCCACTGGCGCCCAGCCAACCGACTAATGAATGGGGTAATCCGATTGCGCTTGCACTTGTTTCCTTCCTCACCTTGTGTGCCCGTCGGTAGTACGGGTTGCACTCTTCTAGGTGGATTTGGCTCGATGCTGAACTTGACCGTTTTAGAGATTGGTGTAGATCGGATAGAAATTCCTCACCCGATTGCGTGTTCTTGGTTGGCGCTCTCCTAGAGTCGCCGCGATCAGCCTTTATCGCCTTGTGTCAAAATGGGGTACTTGAGTCGCGAGCCGTCTGACCGCTTGAGCCTTCTAGCGATCTTGTACTTCAACCAGTAAGGTTGCCTGCTTCCGATCGCAGTTGATGTGTCTTGAGAGTCCTTGCGCTCCTGGCCAAGTAGCTCCAGGAGTGATATTCCTGCCCTTGGTGTCGAAGTTCTCTGACGTCGGGAGGCCAAAATATTCAACACGGAAGAAGAGCTACACGTGTCTATCTAGGAGCACATTGAACTCTCGTTAATGATATCCAACCAAAACCCAAAACTATAACCACGCATAGTCCGTATGTCAGGATTGACCACCACGTATCTTCTACATGCTGAATGGATATGCAATCCTCCTGTATCACGTGGATCACGCCAGACCGCGGTCCTCTGATCGCGGTCCCTTGATCGCTGTCCTCTGATCGCGGTCCCTTGATCGCTGTCCTCTGATCGCGGTCCCTTGATCGCGGTCTCTGATCGCGGTCCCTTGATCGTGGTCTCCTGATCGCGGTTCTTTGATCGCGGTCCCTTGATCGTGGTCCTCTGATCGCGGTCCCCTGGTCGCGTTCCTTCGACCGCTGTCCCTTGATCACGGTACCTTGACCGCGGTCCCTTGGTCGCGGTCCTTTTATCACGGTCTTCTTATCGAGGTCCCATGATCGTGTTCACTTAATTTTCTACAGTCTAAGACCGTTCGGATTAGATGGGGTTGAGCCCGTTGGAACCTCCCAAGGGTAACATCCATATAGCTGACAATCATCCCACGAGTGATTCAGCCAATGCCACCTCGTACTTAGCTGATATCGCCTAGGCTTTTGGCCCAATCTCGATCATCTCTATCACAATCAGCCCCTGCACAAATAGTCGATCCACAACAACTGGATGGATGGTCCACGTGTTCCGTATTCACTTTACGTTTTACCGTTGGCCATGGGTTCCACGTCGTCTATATCGTCTACGCCCCGTCGTGTCTCGCCCGACGAGTCCTCCGCTAGTGACGCGCTACATCACCCGGTTGGCTCCACATTAATATCGGTTAATACATCGCCTGGAACTTCGAGTTATACCACTGCAGAAATGTCCTCAGTGCCATTCTTGCAACCACTGATGACGATCGGCCATGTGGGCTCCAGCCCCACTGGAGCAATTCCATTGCCGACCGCTCGAGTCGAATCGCCGCCGTAGCCGATCAAGCGGCTGCGATCGAGATGCTCGCTAGGCCTTGTCAGTGGATCGCGTCTCAGCAAGACTTCGTCGATCGCTACCGCGATCTGGAGCAAGCGATGAGGTAACATACCCGTGGAGGTGATCGGCTAGAGCAAGATGTCGTTTCCCTTGCTAAGGT